AAGGACGTCATCTTAAAATTACTAGATGGAAAGGTCCTAAAAGATGAAATTTGTTGGAGACCAAAACCTAAAAAGAAATTAATCAAATAATGGAGAACAACACGAAGCTGTTTCATAAGACAGCAAATGGAAGTTTTTTTTAAAAAAAAAAAAAAAAAACAGTGAACAAATTGATGAATTAATTGGAGGATATGCAATACTATTGAGATCGAAGCAGGGAATTGTGAATGAGGTCACTGGCTTCTCTGAGAGTTCAGATTTTACGCGGATGGAATGGATTGTTGTCCAATTGGTCTTGATAGTGCAAACTGGTTGGAAAGGCCGTTTGAAGAGGTTGCTTAAAAGGGCAATGGTCCACTGTTGAAGGGAATAGCCCCTTGAGGATGAGATAGATCGTATCCAATTAATCCCGAGAGAGAAAAATAGTTGCAAAGTCCCTTTGAAGAGGATGAAATTAGGGAGGCAACATGCCCACCGTGGAAGGGAACAGACCCCTTGACCAAAGGGGTTTATTTTTATATGGAAATTTTTAGGATTAACGATGGGAACTTTTTAGGAGTGGGAATGTGAATGCCTGCACCAATGCAGATGACACTATTTTCACTTCGGTGCTGAAAGAGGTTATTTGAACTTGGTTAGGTTTTCAAAGTTTTCGGATCCTCTTAGGTCTAAATATAAACACACCAAAAAACAGGGCAGCTAACAACATTGAGGATACAAGTTTGGAGGCTCTTTCTAGGAGGTCGAGCTGTGAAATTAGAGTTCAGTCTTTGAAATGTTTGGGCCTCCCCATTCAGCTAACCCATGTTCTTTGAATTTATGGGAACCAGTAGTGGGAAAAGTGAGAGCATTTAGATTGGTGGAAGAAAAGATGCCTCCCTAGGGTTGAATTCCATGTGTAGAACGCCAAGTAGCATGGCCAAAGATCGAACATTATCATACCAACAAAGATTCAACATTATTGTACCAACAAAGATTCAAATGCAAAGGCAAGCAAATGCTTGTTGCTTGTTACCTCAGGTACATAATGCATTCGCATATTTTCAATGCCAGATTTCAGGGTGACTGATGAGCTTGGGCAGCCACTGCATGCTCCTTGCATTCTCAATTTAACTATTCCAGTTTCTCTAAACACAGATTAAAAAAAGAATTAGAAAACAAAAGAAGCAAAGAGATAAAGCCAAGAAGCAGAAATAAAATTTCGGCCTTCTCCAATATTAAATTAAAAAGACTAAATTAAATGAAGGAAACTTACGGATGAAATCCCCTATACTCAATGTCACCACCATCATCTTGCACTGCTGGTCGGATGCGAGTCTCCAACAATTCTTTGATCATTGCAACGATTTCTGAATCATCCTGCAACAGAAACCACCAACATGGTTATATATTTTAGATTTATGCACAAAAGAATTGATAAAACAAATACTAAAGAATGGTTAAATATATCCTCCAAAGTTCCAGTTCTAATTTCTGCTCTTTCAACTTGACCAGCTTTGTCCATCAGAGCCACATCCTTGTATACAGCATGCCTCATCACAGAGGTTTCCACAGGATTTTAAAAAGTTATATCCATTGATGACTCAGCCCATGGTTCTCTAATTACACCAAAAAGAATCAAAGGTCTTTGACATTCAGTAAGTGCATATGAAGTTGTAGTTAAGCTTAATTCCATTTTCCTTCTACTTGTCAAGCCCTTCACACTCTTTCGGGTTTTCTAGTACATAAGTTATCTGTAAACTTGAGGTGTTATGGCACTCAAATAGGCAGTGGGTAGCAGAGTCTTTCATTCTACTTGACAGGCCCTCTTAAGGGTTTTCTAGTATATGAATTATCTAAAAACCTGGTGGTGCCATAGCTTCGTGGCAGAATCAACAAAGATGGAGGTAGGATTGACTACAAGCACCATTAGTGGGTTTGGTAAGGTCAAATATAAAGGATTCTGAGGGCACAATTATGAGGTAAGATAAGGTTATACTACACTAGCATGCTCAAAATATAAGATGTCCGCCTGAATTTGGGGAGAGCTGCCATTCTTAAGTCTAATATAAAACTGCTATAATAAAATAAATCACTTCCTTATGGTTACAAAGAGAAATCAAGGCACAGTTACTTATGACAGTGCCTCAAACAAAAGCTACAAGCCTCAAGGTTACTCCTTGAACTATGGTTCTAACAACACTTCACCCAAAAAAAAATATGTGATTCTAAAAACTTCAATAACGCCAAGGAGCTTCCTAACCTAGAACGTTACTCCCACTTGGGGGTGAGTAAACACTAGCATATACAGTCCATCAAAGCACATACTAATTCTAACAACATTCTTAAGAAGTTGAATAAAAATGTCTTCAAATCAAAAGGTAAAACACTGATCTGAACACTATGTCAACAAGTTGGCCCAAAAGTTGAAAAAAGTTCATGGAGATAAATTTCAGGACATACTTCTTGAATAGCAGTGTCCATTGCTGACGCAGTTTTTGTGTCTAGAAAGAGTGGCTGCCCCGAAGAATAGAAGTCCATGATTGCTGCAAAGATTTCAGGCTTCAAAAGATCCCAAGAAGCATCATCTGACTTTGTTACAGTAACAAAATCTGATCCATAAAACACTTGAGTAATTCCTGTATTAAAAGAAACCCGTGTTAGATTTATAACATCACCATACAAAACAATGCTGTGCAATTAAAATTTCAGGAGAAAATAAGAAGAAGAAAAACCTAATTAAACCAGAGTGAACAAAATTCAATGAGTGGAAGAAATTGCCGGAAATTGACCATTCTTATGGGTCATTTGGTCTTACTTTACAATTTATGAAGTCAAGTTATTGTACCAACTGAATCAATTACTTGGTTGACAGTTTTCAAGAATTGATTCTTAGTTGGCATACATGCAATTCATTGCCCCAAGCCATGAGAAAATAAGTGCCTGAAAATGAATTTTCTGATGTTATGCAAGCACTTAATTTCCTGAAGGGATTTTATTTTTTTAAATGTCACATGAACTTATACCTTGAAATCAATTTGTCATTAAGAAAAATTTAAGAGAAATGTCATCTTAATTTTTCAAAATCCATGATTTGTCATCTCACTTTAACACCATCCAATCTTCCATCTATTTTTAAGGGTATTTTAGTTTCTATTTTCAAGGATATTTTAAAAATAGAAAAATCATTAAAACAATAAAATTGAAAATAAAAAAAATATCACCTTACCCCATCATCTGTGCACCACCGTCTCCAACCAACCCCGCCCACCTTGAAATCCAATCCCCCTTCCCTCTTTACAGGCCCTTCCTCCATTCCCCCTTCCACACACAAATTTCCTCAGCCCACCCAAACAAGGGCGAAACAAGGGATTTATACAGGGCTGGGCTAAATTTTTTTTCTCTGGCTTCTTCTATATTTGAGCTAAAACACATATTTTTAGTCCTCGATGTTCAAACACACAATATTTGTTGGAGTGTGGGTTTTCTTTCCCCCGTTAGAATCAATTCCCCCCGCATTCATGGAGGGCAAGAATGCTATCAAACACTTTGCTGAAATCCAAATCCTCAAAAATTGGGTAAAATTTTGAATTATCTATCTACCTAGTCTTTGAAGAACTCAGCACTTGCTTCCTACAAGGGTCAACCTCAAATATCTTTTGGCCTAGTTTTTTTGTTTGTAAGTTGACAAAACTTGTGACTTTCAACAAGAAAAAAAATGGTCAAATGTTGTAGAAGAGTTGTTGAAAGAAAAAAATCGTCACTCTGAGTGAAATTGATGATCGGATCAAGCAACTAACACATTTTAGGATTGTGTTCCAAGCCACTATGCATCCACGCATTTTTGGAGTCATGTTTGAAGCCATTTTGAGACAACGATAATTATGGTTGAAATTGGAAGAGAAATACCGAAGTGTTGAATTTTGATGCGTAAATACGCATTTGTGCGATAAAAAGATGACGAAGTGAGACTATTTTACTAAGCCCTAAATGCACATAAGAGAACACATGGCATAAAAAAGCGCCCCCAAAACATTCGGTATAAGATTAGCAAATTTCTAGAATCTACGCACTAGCCAAAATGGGCTATTGGGTTCATTTTACAAAACGTTGGGCTTTATTTACCAAAAATGGTGACTAGTCCATACTGTAACATACCTGACCCAATTTAATCAATTTAATCCAATTTAATTCAATTTAATTTTTTTGGAAAATTACAATTTTACCCTTGGGAGTAGTTGTACTTTGGTCACTTTTTAATCTAGAAGGATATAGGGGAGGGAAATAAGTGGCACCGTTGTGTAGAGCTCGCTCTCACGAGTTCGTAGACACGTAGTACGCCCAAATCGGAGTTTTAATAAAGAAGTTGTGGTCAACCGAATTGCAGTGGCACAACTGTAAATTTTTCGAAGTTGGATTTTATAAACAGACCATCTCTCTCTCTCTCTCTCTCTCTCTCTCCTTGCGTGCTCTCTCCCCTCTGCACGCAGCAGCAAATTTCTAAGGGCGATTTCGTCGTCGTCTAGTGTCCAACTCAGGTGAAATTGGTTGCAAAAGTTTCGTATCAACGTCCTCTTTCTAATCCACCCATTTTCCCAGCTCAAAAACCCAAGGAAATTAAACTAGAATGATTGGAATTTCGGGTGATTTTAGAAGTTTTCGACGTTGTTTTCGGCGACTCCGACCGCCATTTTCGTTGAGTGAGGTACGAAACTTCATCTAGTCTTCGTGCTCTATCTGTTTATGTACGTATTGTCAATCGATTTTTAGGTTTACAGATTGTTCAATATACCCATATTCAAGGATTAAAATATCGGCCATGCAGATAATATCGAGCCTCCAATTTACGGATATTTCGGGGATGTATCGTTATCGTTTTAGGTATTGGGAAAAAATCAACAAAAATGACATATATAGGCATTGAAATACATAATTTTAGTGTAAAACTTTCATAGATGTTATGTACATTATCAATGAATGTATTGAACAAATAAAACTCAAAATTTACTAATAATAAGATATACATATAATGAAATATAAGTGGTATGTAATGCGCGTTAATAAAAACTTTGAAAATAAAATGTTGATTAGAATGAATAAACCATGCATAAATCCATAGTTTGTTTAAACATTGGATTACAATTTAGATAAATGTCCATCTACATAAATGAAGAGCTCCTATGAGGTTCAAACAATGAGAAACAACCATCTAGATTCATACAATAGTCATAACAAGTAATGTAACCCGAGCTGTTTGTAAGCCATGTTTGAACATAGTGCACATAGGTCTCTCTTGATCTCCCTACTGTCCTCCCATATATGGAATAGTTAGGATTAACCCAACTAGTAGGTCCATAATCTGTTTCATCATCTTGAGCTTTATAACTAGTTCCACTATAATTAGACATGACATAACCATAGCCATCATAAGATTCATTTGAGTTAGTACTAGGTCTAGTTTTTATGCTCATAGATCCAAAACTGATCGCCATGTCCTCTTTAGATGGATTGGAGGTATGTGGGCAATGGACTGTGCATAGATTCTTCATATTAATAATTTATAGGGTTCTGAGCAAGGATTAGCTATTTTTGGGTTTCAATTTGCTTCAATTGCCTTCAAAACTTCTGAATTTTTTTTGGGTTATGTTATGATTATCGGGAAATATCGGGGACATCGATAAAATATCGGGGATATCGCACGTATCAGGGATATATCGTCCATATAGGAGAAGATATGGCCTTATCCCCCAGTATCATTGTCAATAGTTGAAAATACCGACATATGGGCCGATATATCGGTGTATTGGCCGATATTTCAATCCTTACCCATATTAGGCCGGTGGTTTGGTCATGATTTCATCTAGCTCCAGTCACGTTTTGGCCACGGTCTAAGAACAAAAAGTGTTCCCATTGTTAGTTTGAACGTATATGTATATGTATTGTAGGGTGTTTCGAGAATTTTCCGTAGCTGAAATTTTCTCAATCCGCCCATGCGCTGCTGGCTAGGGGTGGGCACGGTTCGAGTTGGATCGATTTTTGCCTCAAATTAGAACCGATTTGGTACTATTTATTCGGTTTGGATCGGTTCGGTTTCAATTAAAAAAATTTCAAAAACTATCCGATTCGGGTTGAATCGGTTTCGATCTGGTTCGATTTGGTTTGGGTTGAACTGGATTATAAAAATTATTTTTTAATACAATTTTCAACTGAAAATTTATTTATTTATACATGAAAATTAACAAAGTATTCAATTTCATATAAAAATAAATATTAAAGTTAGAAAAGAGAGATATTTTGAAACTGAACTTGAATAAATATTAATTATTAGATTAAAAATATAGCATTAAATAGAAATAAATATTAAAATTATATATTTTTTAATTTGACTGGTTCGATTCGGCCCGGTCCGGTTTTTGAAGACATGAAATCGGATCCAAAATCGGTCCAAACCGGTCCGGTTCGATTTTTGATCGGTTGTTGACTTTTTGGTCAACTCGGTTTTTTTCTGGTTTGGTTCGGCTTGGATTTCCGGTTCGCCAATTTGAGTGCCCACCCCTACTGCTGGCGTTTGTGGCAGCGCGTGGCCCATGGTGTGGCTGCCCATTGTGTTGTAAAATGTTCTCCATGTGGTCCCGAGCGCGACGGTATGCTTGGATTTGAATTTGGTTATGGTATGATAGTCGAACGAATTTACGCCTATTAAGCAATATCTGGGTTCGATAAGTTTGAACAGTTGAATCGGCTCCAATTCCAAGTATGTCATTCCTCGTGCCTCTAGGATTGTGTAGGAACTTACGGATCGAGAATCGGAGTCCTGGATACTCCGAATCAATGATTCTAGGGTTTGGTAAACCGGTGATTGTCTGATCGCACAATTAAGAGCGATTCGACCACTCAATCAAAACCAAACTTTCAGGACGTGTTTAGTAGACCTGGTTAGACCTCTAGGAACTTTTGGTCTTGAAATCGGAGGTCGTGGGCCCCCGGGCCCTGTTGACTAAAAATGGAAAGTTTGACCAAACCGTTGACCACGGGTTTTTTGAGACCATCCCGTCCTTTGTAAAGTACTAGAATAGCCTTAGGACTTCTCCAAGGTGACGGGTCCACGTGAAGTCTCGGGAACTAGGGTTTGATTTTAAATGTGCGGTTGAGGCCGTATAACAAGTTTTGGTAGTGTTCGGACTTTTGGTTTAGTGTACATTACTCTCTGAACATTTGTAAGGTATGTTTATAGTGGTTTAATTTTGAGATTATAATATTATTTAATTGTGGTTATTGGCTGTTATATTGATATAAATGAAACTTTGGGGATGGTGTGAAGTGATACATGATTTGATATTGAATGACGATAATTCATGTGTGAATCTGGAATTCAATTTTGATTGTGGAAGCCGAATTGGTTGGTATTTAATATTTTGGTTTGAGGTTACGAATGTGTTGGATTTGGAGTATATGCTTTTGAGAGTTTGTTGTCCATAACAAACCTAACAACCTGCCAGCTCATTAACTAACATTAGGGGTGTAAGTTGGATTGGAAAATCCGATTCCGACCGATTTCGGTCCGAATATTTCCAAAAAAATCCGACTCCGATAAATCCGATATCCGAAAATGCCGAATCCGATATTTCCGATAAATGCCGAAAATTCCGCAATTCCGATCCGAAAAATTCCGAAGTTCTCCGAACCCATTCCGATCCGATTTTTCCAACTTGATTCCAAAAAATTCCGAGTTTCTAATTAAAATTGTATTATTTTTAGTTTATAGGTCTTATATATGTTTCATTTCTTATTTGTTATATTTTAGTACCCACATACAAATATTCATACATACTAAACATAGGCTTGGCAAAAAAATATACTAAACATAGTAGTATATAACTTTAAGACTACGGGTAATATATAGTAGTATACTAAACATAGTAATATATATTTGGCAAATATGCATAATGTGTGCTTGTTATATCCAAACGTACTACAAATATGTAAATGTAGGGAGTATCATATCATACTATTATATTTTGTATTCTATGTATGTATGTATTTTTAAAATTTTAAACTATCTTCATTTAAAATTTTAATTATAAAATTATTTTATATATACATGAAATACAACACATAAGATAAGTATGTTAAGTGAATCTTAATAATTGTAGTATTCCAATTGCCTAGAGCAATAACACTCTTTACACATGTTCATGCCCACAAGAATCTAAAACCAACGTGATGGTCACTTGACTATAACTTGAGCATCAATTGATTGATGAATGTGAATCCATCTTTAGCATTTGAATCAATAAATTTTCATTCACATGATCAGAGCATGATGATGTTTGAAGGAGAAGATTTGATTGTTTTGGATATAATTTGATTAGATTGTTTGATCATTTGACGGAGAAGGGCTTTGATCATAGACTGAAACCAAAAACGCATAAAATAAGGATAGTTGGTTTTGATATACCATCCATAGGTTTTGGATGCATAGGTGTTCTTTTTCTATGAAAGTTATTGGAGTTGTTGGAGTCCCATTTCTGAGAGTTGTTGGAATCCCACATCGATTGAAAACATAGACTTCAGATGTTTTCTTCTTTATAAATATCTTTACCCCAATTCAGTACTTGAATAGACTTCAAGTTCAGCCTACAATCTTAAGTGGGCTCGACAGGTCATTATTTAGTAGTATTTATGAAGTCTCTAGTTGGGTTTCTTAATTAATGCCTAGTTGGGCTTCTTGATAGAAAGCCTAATTGGGATCTTAATATTATTTTTTTTGTTAGTTACGTATAATATTGATATGAATTTGTTCTAAAGAATTTGAAACTTCGGAATCGGAAAGTTTCAAAAAAATTCGGAATTTTTCGGAAT